TAAGAATCCCGATTTTGGCCATATCGGGATTTTGAGGTTTTTCAGGTCAAGAATCCGGCTCTATAAGAAACAGCCTTAATTTACAGAAACTTTGGAACAAAAATTGGAATGATTAAAACGGCCTTATAGGCCCTTGTTTATGGTTTCCAAATCTTTATCTTCCAATCTTTCGACAAATGTTGACTTTTTCGACCTTTTGGGCAGTCCGCCTCCCGAACGAGTGTGAATCAGCTGTTCGACCTTTGAGAACAGTCACAGCTTTGGCTGAGATGTCTACAGATCGCCTACATGTTTCGCCAGGGTTCACGTTTTTTCCAGCAGAGCAAGATGTTGAAGATTCAGCCGAAATGCCACCTCGGAGCAAATCTTGGGCCAAGATCTGTCCAAAAAAACTCTTGCGTGAAAATTGCGCACCTTGAAAAATCAAACGTGGACCCTGGCGAAACATGTAGGCGATCTGTAGACATCTCAGCCAAAGCTGTGACTGTTCTCAAAGGTCGAACAGCTGATTCACACTCGTTCGGGAGGCAGACTGCCGAAAAGGTCGAAAAAGGCAACATTTGTCGAAAGAAAGGGAGATAATGATTTGGAAACCATAAACATAGCATACGTCACACAAGTGACATTTGATCCATCAAAAAAACTCCATTAAAAAGAAATACATGGTCAAAAATCAAACCCAACCCGCCGGTCATGCAGCGGCAGCCGACCCGCCCAATCCATGTCGAAATCGGCACAGAGGACAGAGACATCCACCGGTCCATTTTTTATCAGTTGAAAGAGAACAGCCCATGGCATCGCCACCCACCGGTAGTCATGCCAACCCAATACCGTGCACACTTGGACACATGGATGCGGGGGAAAATTTCGCAATTATTCGCCATCAGTGAGGTAAAATTCGCTTCCCGACTCGAAACCAACGTGACCGACAAGGCAGTGCAAAGGAATCTTCGTCCCAAGAACCTCATGCCGATGGCCCACCCAACCAAAGCCAACAGTCAGCCAAACTGCCGCCTATACAACAACGTTTACGAACAAGAGAAGAAGATTTTTGTGTTCCCACTGGACAACAAGTTCCCCGCAATTTCTACCGTCCGTTTGCATACGTACATGCATGTCTGCTTCTGTGGAAAAAGACTTCCAGTCAGGAGCAACGCACAAGACCCCCTCCTCCCCCATTAATTATAATGGTGGCCGAGTAGATCATGTTGTGTGGAGTCGAGAACCCTCACTCCGCGTGGAAGGGGATGGATGATCGCACCGCGTTGTGTTAAAATGCTCAAGCATCCTCGAGGCAGTTACACACTGCTCATGACTGTCTCTGGAAGTGAACTCATTCGCAGCTGTCCTCCGTATGCAAGGAAGTAAGGACAAGGTGCCGAACACCCTTAGCAGGATGCAGCGCGCCCTTCATGGGACTCGCCGAATATGATGTGAGAGCCTGGTCCGGTGAGAACCCGGCGTGCTCCTTCCCGACTTCGTAGGGATGCGAGGTCAACGGTCTAACGACCAGGGCAAGCAGGACAATGAGTACACCCCCCATCGCACTCCATTTTGAAGGGGGTTAGTCCCCTGTGATGCTTCCGCTATTAATCTTGGTTTTCTTTCTTGGGGATGGGCTTGGGTGCCATCTTTCGGCCGGGGATGGCGCCATTGAACTCGTCCGCTTTGTCCTCACCCTGAAAAGAAAGAAAACCAAAAAAGAGGAAAGGGGCCAATGCGTCGTCCCGAGGATGCGCGCAAAGGATCGGGAAGAAGGGGTGTGGATAGTCGGTCAGAAGTGAAACCGGCTATTATATGCAACTAGTTTTCAACTTCTTTCCGGAAGAAAATACCAGCACATCAAGAGCCAACCGCAATACCAGCAACAGGAACAGCACCAACAACGACGTCGAGAACAAAACAACACCACCACCACCAAACAGCAGCGCAACCGCACCTCATCCAGGCTACCACCGAACTCGGCGTCATCGTCGATGGACTGCAGCAGGATGTCGCCCCCGTCTTCGTCACCGCCCTTGCCGCTGAGAGTGGGCAGAGCCGCATAGGAAAACCTGTAAAAAAAAACGTCGCGGATACGGCATGCAAACACCCCTCCGTCAGGGTTTCTTGCCGCCCACCATCACTATCCTGCCCTTTCGCGATCCTCTCTTCCTTCGGTTGGACTTCTCTCGGCAGTTCAACAACTGTTGCCCTTGCTTGACGCAAGTTCAAGTGTGCGTACAAAATCGCCTCCTTCGTACATACGCTCCGTCGATGCGCCAGTTTTCATTCAAGGCTTGTATGGTTCGTCCGGGACTTCTGATCCACTTTGCCGCCCTGCCCTTAGGTGCACTTTTCTCGGGGTAGGGGTGGTTGTTCCGAATTTCAAAAACACCTTATGAAGCCCTGTCTCCAGACGCACAAATCTTAAGTTCGTTTTTTTTTTGTTTGTTCGTTGACTTTTAATTTCAAAATAACCAGAAAAATTTGTTTGCAATCTGCTGGAAGGTCTACTTTTCAGAGAACAAATCTGAGGCCGGATTTCAACAGCTGGTGTGTCGCCTCGTTCCAAAAAAATATATATCAAGAAACGACGAAGTTATGGCCCATAAACCAATCTGAAATGGCATTTTGTTGGCAATCTGTTGCGAGAACCAACTTCCCGATTTTAATAGAGTGCGGCAAACGCTTCCTCTCGAAATTCAGCAGGTGTCGCCTTTTCCCGATTCTTCCTAAAAACGAAATTTATGAGCTATTAGGTGATGATGTGCGTGCCGCTGTGAGAGACGAACAGCTCTCGCACGCACACACCTACCAGACATTCACCATTCAACAAAGCAGCGCGCAAGTGGCCACACGGTCACACACAAGCCCCACACATGCCGCGACGCAAGAAACGAAGAACGAAGATGGCGCGGAACGCGGATGGAACCATCGTGCCACGTGTNATGATGTGCGTGCCGCTGTGAGAGACGAACAGCTCTCGCACGCACACACCTACCAGACATTCACCATTCAACAAAGCAGCGCGCAAGTGGCCACACGGTCACACACAAGCCCCACACATGCCGCGACGCAAGAAACGAAGAACGAAGATGGCGCGGAACGCGGATGGAACCATCGTGCCACGTGTTCAGGCAACAGCACCACCAGCACAACTCGTCGGTTCTGGCCATGAGTCCGATGTTTCTCCCATGGATGTTGTCGAGGATGACAATGCCCGTGACGAATGCAATAGGATACATTTGTGGTGTTTGATATGTATGCATATCATATGGATACGAGTATACATAAAGCAGTTACAATTGGTGCAGAGCTTGTATGCATATAATATAGATACGAGTATACATTAAGCAGTTACTAATGGTGCAGAGCTTGAAAGCTCTGGGAGACAAGTAGGGTTCTGTGGAATGACTAAGGGGTTTCATGGTACATGTTCAGGGGGTTCCGTGGATCACTTTAGCCAAAAATGTCGCATATTCTCAACAGTAAAAAACTCTGCAGCTGTCGACGTAGCTCGACGAGGCGATCACGAATATCGTTTCATGTTCCAACTTTTTGTTCAACAAAAGTTATCGCACAAAACAAGAATGGACAAATTGTCCCGGACGGACCATACATCGTAGGTGCGAACACGCGATATATTTCGCAGTTCGGACGATTGTTGGTGGGGCAGACCCTCCCTACGATACGCGCTATAAAAACAGGCTGCTTCACAAAAAGGGAGCTTTACCGAAACGAAACGACGATGACGCCCGTTCAGCGATAGAGAGTATACCCACCCACACGACTATGGGTTGTCTAGCACACTATTCATGAAAAACAATGACTGCTGCGAAAGCGTCATGACTGGAGGCGTACTCTTGTTCGCCTTAGCCTTGTCAGGTGTTTTGTTTGGGTGATTCGGCGTGGGGATCGGCACTCAGACGAAATATCTTTTTCACGTGCCCAGAACAAGCGTAAAGCCATGCATTCAAAGTGAGATCATAAGTACCGGCCTCTTTCCTCAACAGAGTACTAGCATGTCGCCGATGAAGGCAAGTCTCGTAATCTGGACAGAAACCCGCCATCACGGCAGAATAATCAACTCGTTTCGAGATCGGCAGCGCGCCCACTGCTGTCGCCAAAATTGACGGCCGCAACAACAACATCGGCCACAAGCAGCAGCAGCAGCAGCAGCGAAGGCAGTACCACGCTCCCCGAGAAACTCGCCGCACCTTTGAGAGTTCATCGAAGGCCTGAGCAGGAAACAGACTGCAACCAACACCGCCAAGTAGAGCACCTCCCAGATTGCGTCAACCGTCCAGTAACTTTCCCAATGCCGTTCCTGAACACGAGGGAAAAAAGCGGTGAAAACACACATCAATACCAACGCCGACCTCCCTTGTCCGCGGATAACGGAAGGTTGCGCCGTCATCTCCACGAAAAAAAAATAGAAGAACGAAGACAAGCTGGTCAAAAAATGGAAGAGAGGAGGAAACCACCGTTGGACAGCACCGCTGCAGTGGACAACAACACTTGGCGTTGTGATATCTACCGCGGTCTCAATTTTTCTAACCTCCGTTGCACAACCAGAACAATATCATGTTCCAAGAAAACATTTCGAGTGAGTATTCTTCGAGGCATCGTTGGTTCCTCGTCTAAGGGGGGGGGGTACTCATTGTCGTGCATGCCGTAGTCGTTTGACCGTTGACCTCGCATCCCTACAAAGTCTGGACGGAGGGACCAGGCTCAACATGACCAAGCGAGAAGCGCCGTGAGGTATTCGGCGAGTCGAATGGAGGGTGCGCCTAAGTGTGTTCGGCATCTTGTGCTCACTTCCTTGCATACCGATGACAGCTGCATATGACTTAATTTATTTTCTGGTGTTCACTTCCACAGACAGTTGTAAGCACTGTGTGACTGCCTCGAGGGTGCTCGACTGATTCAACACAACGTGGTGCGATCATTCCCTTACGGGTGTGTGAGTGTGTACTCATACCCGTGTTTGTCGTAGTCGTTAGACCATTGCATCCGTATACTACTCCGCACAAAAAAAGAAAAGCCTTTCCCCCAACAGGAAAACGAACCGACCCCCCCCCCCCGACAATCGAGAGTAGAATACGAGGTCGCTCCCCCCCCTCCTTCGCTGCCACTTCGGGCGTGCCCTGAGGTTGGTAAAACAAGACCATCAAGATACCCATGCCTTCAAGACCTCTACTTTTGCGCACCACGAGCTCCACCTTTATCCCTCAATGAATTCGGCACATGCACGCACAGCCGTAGCGCCCATATAACGAGGGCACATGCGAATAGAATTAAGAAGGGGGCTTCGATAAAAGAGAATCGACCCCACTATAGAAGTAGTATAATTGGGTACACCGTCTTCTTCCGGAACAAGAGGGGGCTCCAATATAAGAGGGGCCTTTGTCACACAGCATTGTAGTAATCCCTCACCTCCTCGATTTCCGAGGAGCGGACGACACCGTAGACTGCCCAAACCACGCCGAAGATGGCGCTGCCCACGAGAACCCTCCGGAAGTTCACGTACAGCGCGAGCTTCGCCGTCTGGCCCCTGACTTGCAGGTGCTGGATGACTCCGACGATTGCCTGCCACTCGCCGATGCCATCGCCGTTGACAATTGTTGTCACCGTGTCATATCATACCCCGAGAAAAGGAAAAAAAAAGGGGAAGCCACAATACAGCAGCAGAGTGCCAGGGGAGATATGTGAATATAGCGGTCGCGCCATCGGTGTCGACATGGCATCGTATCATCATACAGTTTGCCCCGACAAAAATAAAAACAAATACAAATGGTAGCACACAATACAGAAAGTGCATGAGGAGATACGTAAGTGTGTGTAGATGATATGGGACGCGTGGGTGGTACAATACACACCGTCGTTAGCCTCACTACCTGCTTGCCTATATTCGACGGGGCCCGAGTTGGTACCTAACCTCAAGGACCACGGCAGAGTGGAGTCCCTCCAAGCGCAACGAGGAATCAGTCGGCCATCAAGCGAAAAGAATCATGAGTGAACGACGTCATGTCCGATGCGGTACACTTGTGCGGTCCGTCAAACAAACATCATGGGGGACTTGGGGGCGCCACCGTCCCACACACTCGCCACAGAACATCATGGCTACCATCACATTGCTCGAGTACATGCGTAGCATGGCGATTGATACGAACGCCCACCAACCGGCCGCCTACGACCGAGGGCGACTGCATTACCAGACTCTTAAGGGGGGGGGGGGCACCACCGAGGCCTTCTTTCGCCCAAGGCTACAAGCGCACCTGGATCGTCCACATGAAGAAGATAACCATGATGGTCGCATTGACGAAAACCAACATCGCCGCCGCGTTTACGCCTGCTCGAGTGGCGAAGTCCTTGTCCCCGACGTCCACGCTGGCTCGAAACGCCACCCATAGCTGGGGGAAGGGATGAGAGAGAAGCCAAACACAAGAAGGTGTCGAGACCGACGCAACATAGAGCAGGGCGACAAAAAAAAAAAAACACCAACATGCACGACTAGTACTCAGAGCAAGCGTTTGCGCTGCGAGAGCACCAAGAAAAATGAAAATATAAAAGCGTGGCTTGCACTTACATAGCGCCACGAGAGGGTTTAGACATACCGCCGAGGAATGGAGCAAGACTTTGACCGTTGGTTCCATGGAGGAGAGGATTACGAATTACCGCCGGTTTAGCCTTACGCCGGGAGAGGGTTCAGCCTTGCCGCCAAGGAACGTTATCACACCGCGGAGGGTTGCATCAAGACTTGCTACACCGCGGAGGAGAGGACTAAGACTAACTCAACGGCGGAGGAGCGGGTTCTTAGACTTAACACCGAGGCAAGGATTAACCTTCCAGCGAAGAAAGCAATAAGATACTACACCGCGGAGGAGAGGACAAAGACTAGCTGCTGTATCACCAAGGAGGAGGTTTCATTCAGGCTTACCGCCGAGGAGAGGAAGTAGATGAGGGCCATGGCCATGATCTTGTGCACGTCGCGCCCGAGGGAAGGCCGCACCACGCCGTACCCCATGCACACCATCAGGACAAGCGACAGAGACAGCGAGCGCTTCGCCGCACCGAAGATGATGGCGAAACACCTGGCTCCTACCCCTCTTGTCCCCTCGAGGTTCCACTCCCTTTTTTGGGTGAATAGGGCGGGGGGGGGTCAACGGTTTGGGAATAGAACACAACCGATTGCCGTACCGGCCGGGCGGCAACGCTCGATATTGAGGTAGGTCATTCTGAAATGATCCCAAGTAAATACTCGAAAAGATGGCGAAGACTTTGCGAGGCGGCTCGGTTTTCAGCTCCGCCGCTGCTGAGAAGCGTCTGCTACCGGCTACGAGACACGGCCACGCCTCAGGCAACGGGGTGTCGCTGGTCTTCCTTGGCATGTATTGTAGTACCCTTCCCCCCCCTTCTGACGCAACTCATCCTCTTGCGGCCAAGCAAGCACGCTGGTTATTCGCAAAATTCCTACGGTGGACAACCAATCAGGGTGGGGGGCGCAAGCATTGCAGTGTACACCTGCCGTACCTATAGTCGAAGTATTGAGCCCCTGTCTCCACCATCCCAAGGACAAGCACCAGAGAGGCCCAGAGTTGTACCGCCAACAGATCCTGCGCAGCGGAAACCAAGCAGGCGAAAGTGGGGACTTGCAAGAAAACATGAACGGAAGGGGACGTTGCATCCGGGCACACTGAACGGAATGCTGTACCGGGACGGGACGCGGTATCCTAGAGCACGCGGTATCCTAGAGCATGCTAAGCACAGCACACCCGCTTAAGCTTGAGGTTGAGCATGGCGAGAACAACTCTTCCAAGAAAGACAACAACAGAAGTTGGGATGACTACGCAAGGATGACGAGAAGAGACTGCACAAAACATGCCATCCACCCTGCTCCGCAGTTCCTAGGCGACCAGCATGATCTCTGCTAGGTAGTAGAAGCATGCCGCTCTCTCTAGCGTTTTCCAAACCCGAAGGACGGGTGGACGGACGCACCTTGATGTTCACCATGCAGACGATCATCCAGATGACGCCCAGGGAAAGGTAAACGATCGCCAGACAGAAGAAGAAGGGGAGGTCGCCGTAAGACGCGCCGGGAAGGTACCCTTTGACCACAAACAACAAGGGACAATAAAAGTAACAAAAATGGAAAAAAACGAGAGGTAGGGGCAATAATTAGTAGTGTAGATGAGAGAAGACGGGGGAACAAGCATGCTGGAGAAGCAGTGAGGCAAGGAAATGGATCCGCCGCGCGGGTGCACGAGCCACTCCGTGAAGGCCAATCCTTCTGCCCCCGCTGCTGGTGGTGGTGGATATTGTTGCTACCATCGTTGCCTTCATATGCGGAATCCCGTTTATGGGCTCTCCCCAGAGACACTCCCTCTTCGTGCCTTGTTCCATCTTACTAAATAGCGGCAAGAAACCGAGTTCCTTGGCAATGCTATCAAGTCTCTCACAACCAAAACCCAAGCACTAGATGTGGTACCGTGATTCAATTCCACGTGAGCATCAACAAAGGGCCAGCCACGCAGTTGGCACAAGCTAGTACACGCCAGGTAGCAACAAAACCATTGGACGAATGCTCAGGAAGATGCAAGGTGACCTTTTGACGGTGGCCCGATACCAACGTCCCTCTCTACAACGAAAATTGCTAGTCCTGCAAATTCCGGAAGACTTAGGAGCAAGACACGGTCTGACAAAGATCCTACACCCACCACGGGGTTCTCAGCATCCACAGGGGACAACTTCAAGGAGAATAGACGGGAAGCCCATCATACACGATGCCAAAATAGCAGTGCGGGCAAGGAAGACATGACCGGTCGACTAAACAAGTACTGCTGAAAACAAGCTTTTTTGTTGCTGCCTTGGTCCAACCGAAGCAAGGAAACCAATCGGCCGACGGGAGGTGTTGGTGAGCGCCCACCGTAAGGATTTTTCCACTCGCTGTGGCCGTTGATGAAGATCGATCCCGTCCTCTGGTCGCAGTTGGCCACCAGGACGATGTACATACCAGTCTCAGGCACCTTTCGGATAAACAAGAATACAACAGCAGCAGCAGCAGCAGCAGCAGCAGTAACAGCGAAAACAAGATCGAAATCAAACCAAATGAACTCTAGCAGCAAGAATGCACGGGCTCTCGCCGTTAGATGTGCTAGAGACCAGGAGCAGTGGCTATGGTGTACCTCTCCCTGTCCAAATTTTCTCCCAAGCCAGTGGTAGGACACACCCAAGGTTTTTCGATCACGGGGGAGACGCGACAAGGAATGTTCGCATCTCCAACCCCCTCGCCCAAAGCACAAGCTGGGTACTTCAGTGTTGCGTCGGACGAGCGTTTTTTTTTTGCATTCATCGGCTGCAGATGAACAAGTGCGGTCGATCGTAATCAATGAAGAAACGTAGACGTGGAGCCCGCGGATTAGAAAAATTGGTCACCCTGCTGCGGCGTAGAGCCCAAACGCACAGACAAACACAACATAGTACCCCGTGGATCCAAGAGCGTGTGGGGGGTACACATCTCCCAGCTCTGCAACAGTCATGTGGTGAACGCGGGGCGTTGCAAGCTATACGTGACCGCATACGCACACGCACACGCACGCTTGAAATCGTCATGACCCTGGCGCAACCACACCCCTGCCGCTGAGCGCGCGCCGCCATTGCCGAGAGTCACAACATCCTCAAGCGGGACGCCCGCAGCCGAACGCATGAAACGCCAAGGCTACAACCGCTGAACGTAAACACAAGAAGGCTACAGTCGCTGAAAGTAACCACTGCTGACGTTAGTCAGCCCTATGGGTAAGGCCGGCCCTCCGCCGCCGACGAAACGGACCGATGCGACGCAAGATACCAAACCCCCTGGGCCGATTCTGAACGCTCGATTCCTCCACGAATATTGCAGGAGGGGGTCCACCCCCCCCCTCCTACGTGACGCAAGCAAGACGCAGGAGAACTTTGGACAAATTGGGGAAGATGTCCAGAGGTTCAGTAGGAAGGGAAAAGTTGTCATGGTGGGCGATTTCAACTCCAGAGTAGGGAAAGCTTCCAGTAGAGGACAGGCGATCGGGCAGCACGGAGAAGACAAAGTGAATGACAACGGAGTGAGGATGCTTGAATTCTTGGGAA